CCAGAGCGACCCACATCTTCCAAGCCCGCTCCCTGCTCCTGCGCGCACCTCCCAACCCTCTCGTTAGGCCAGAGCAGGAACACCTGAAGCGCCAAGGCCACGGCCTTCCCACGGGCTGGAATCACGCCCGAAACATCGTGGCGTGTCGCGCAGCAGCGTCTCCCACCGCACACAGGGACAGATGAGAGCCGATATCCCAAATCCCAACTCTCCGGGAAACCTCCACTCTGCTCAAAGCTTGGAGGTGACTGAACCTCAGCGTGGTCCTCACAGGTGAGGTCAATAGCGGGAAAACAGCTCCTCGCACGTATTTAACTCACCAGCTGGTCTTAATTAACTCGTTGCTATGCGTGCATTTTTCCCTTCTATGTTAGTTCTGCCAGAAGATAAACTGATGTGAGATGTTTTGTAGAGCCTCGGTAAGGGAAGCTGGGAGAACTGCCCATATGCCTTGAAACGCTAAAGTATGTTTGATAGAGATTTTTTTTTTCTTCTGAAAGAGAAGAAAAACTCCCCTTTCCTCTCGGAGCAGCTGTGGCTGTTAATTCGCACCCCCAGGCCTCGCTCCTGCCTGACGGAGGGGACGGGGCAGTGGTGCCCGCAGTTCGTCCTCCCAGCGCTGGTCTGAGCGAGCCCCGGGCAGTGGCTCCCTCTCTTCCCCAGCCCCGCTCCCAGGGGACCGAGTTTCGCTGTGACTGGGGTTAGGGCAGCCCGACAGGGGCCGCGGCGCCGGTTAGAAGCAGGAGACCACAAAATCGGTACAGTGTTCCTCGCGGCGCTAGCAGCCACGCAGCAATCGGGGAAAACCGCGCAAGGGAGATTTCAGCGTTCCTCGCTTTGCGCGCCCTGGGACTCGGCGCGGGGAGCCTGGGCCCGGCTGCCCGCCCCTCTCCGCGCTTCTCCGCGACTCCCTCCGCTGCCCGGCCCGGGCCCTGCGCGTCCGCGGAGCGGCGGTGCCTGAGGTGAGCGCTGGTTCCGCGGTGGGATCGGATCGAGCCCCGGGCTGCGGGCTTCGTTCGGGGCATCGCCGGGACTGCGCGGGGCCACGGGCTGCGCCGTGAGGCTTGGAGGATCCCCCTCGAGCACTGCTCTCCCTGCGCAGCGCGCAGACCCTCCTCGCCAGTCGTCCGCGGACGCTCCGCGGGAGGCGAGGGGTTTTGCCGACCTGCTGGAGGGCCAGAAGAGGCCAGAAGGGCTCTAATTCGGTGGGACGGACATGAAAAATGCCCAGATCTGGTTATACGGGCTCCAGCCTCGTTTCGTCCGTGTCGTTTTATCGCCTCTCTCCCACTCCCGTCTCTTCACGGGTCGCTCCGCCTCGGTTGCTATTTTGGTGAACGCTCTAAAGCGGTGAAACGTGTCGCCACTCGCGCTCTGGGGCTTGAGTAATGCGAGGATGTGTGTGGGTGGGAGTGCTAATCAGCCGCAGAGAGGAGAGATCTCTTCGGTACTTGACAGCACGATGGACGCGGAGGTTTGGGGTCGCGCAGACCGCCCAGCGAAGCCTGCGGCAGTGCGAGCTTCCCCTGCGAGCAAACGAGCAGATGTGCGCAGGGAAACAAGCCCCCTCGCTGCCGGGACGGCGGGAAGGACCCCGCTCCGCCGAGCCCCGCTCGGGGACGCTGCGCAGCCGCGGGCACGCAC